GTAGCTATAACAAATATATAATATTTTACGTGTTTACGCGGTCAATTTACTATACAAATCGTGTGGGTTGATGAAATTGACGTTGAGCTGGTGGTTGACGTTGAGCTGGGTAGGGCCTAGTTCGGAAGAACTAGGCACGTGGGGCGAGTACTGCACGTTCATGTCGCCGACTAATGACAAGATGCATGAGCTGATCATTGTTGGGTACGACTGATCGCCAACTGGACCCATACTACGAGACGCGACCTGACGCTTCATTCGTGGACTCTTGTCCCGAATCTCCACTGGAACATATCGCCATTTAGTGGTCCCTGGTGGTGGATTATTAGCATTGAATTCTGCCTTCATCGCACATGGCGACCTTACCTCAATTCCAGCCCTTATCTCGATACCCTAGGAATAATTGCGCAGAATGAGCACACTTCACATTTCTCTTGCCTGAAATGGCGAACTTGTTGCATGAAACATGCGGGGTGACAATGTTGGTTGAATTGCAGAACGAAGTCTTGGATTCTATGCATTATGTGCTAAGCTTCGGATCTTTGCCTTGGTTTGGGTCGGATTGGTCATCTGGAAATGGACGCCTGAAAATTCCATGCTGCCGGATGTGATACGAGGGTGAATATACACAACCCTCACTTCTGCATCAGAATAAACCTGTCATGCGAACAAGTTCTGAACGAGGGTCTGCAGGAGTGGTGACATGTCGCATGAACCGCTACCACCTGTACTTCGGCATGTGCAAGTGAGTGCACGTGAAATTCGGAATCCTGTTCCGGTTGGCGATCACATTTCCAGTGCATAGACGTGACGGTTTGTAAACGTTGCTAATCTGATTGAACTTTGTTAGTACGTTAAATAAATTGCGCCAGTTCCACGTCAAGAAAAAATCGTGAATTCTCGAGAGGAGAATTGGTCAAGATGAAAAGAATTGAGGGACACTACGTTTATAACTACCGACAGGACAGTATACAAAAGCAAGTCTCTGTACGCCACAAATGCATTGTTAATGATCCTTCTAGCAGCGCAACGGCAAAGTGTATGAATAGCCTATCCCATCTCAGAACAAGCGCAATCAAAGACCGGGAAAACATCCGGGCTAGATGCGCCAATGCGGGGCCCCGCAATCAAAATTCATCTATTCAGGCACTACTAACGCTATAAACTAGGAGAATAGGCTTTGCATACAAAGCTCATCTCTTGGCCGCCTTTTTAGTTTTCAACTTGTCTACAGCGGTCTGAAACGGCGCACGGTGTGAAGATGAGGCTCGCAAACTCGCTTGGCCAATGAACATCACGCCTGGTTGCACCGAGAGACCTCGCCATCTAGGTCTCGGTGGTATCCCGGGTCCATATTCACATTTGACCACGAAGTCCCGGGAAGCGTCTCCGAGACCGTGCTCTCAAGAAGTAGTATAAGTATGGTCTTGATTCAGTCGAAACAATTCCCCAATCACTTGTTTTCTTGAACCAGCGGAGTCACTCCTTCTTGAAACGCTTCAACAATGTCACTTTCTTCAGTCGTTGCGGCAACCCTGCTGGGCTTGGCCACTGCCCAAATAGCAGGAACTATCCCAGAAGTACACCCAAAGTTGACGACTTGGAAATGCACAAAGGCTGGTGGGTGCAAGGCGCTAGACACTTCCATTGTTGTTGACTCACTACGCCACAATATTCATCTCAAAAACGACACGAGTGTGAGCTGCGGTGATGAATACACTGCGCTCAATACGGCGCTTTGCCCAGACAAGAAGACTTGCGCTCAGAATTGCGTAATTGATGGCATCGAGGATTACTCCACACAAGCAATTTTCACGGAAAACGACAAGCTTCGCCTAGACATGTTCAATCCCAAAGGTGAATACATGAGCCCTAGGGTGTATCTGTTAGCCGAGGATAAGCAGAACTACGAGATGCTGCAATTGACGGGCAATGAACTGTCCTTCGACGTCGATATGTCGAAGCTACCTTGTGGCATGAACAGTGCTCTCTATCTCAGCGAAATGGAAGCCGATGGTGGACGGTCCGAATACAACACCGCAGGTGCGCCCCAGGGTAGCGGGTACTGTGACGCCCAGTGTTTTGTCAAACCATTTTTGAACGGCGAGGTAAGTCCGCTTACTCATTGGTTTTGAACAAAAGACTGACTGTACGCAGGCCAACGCTAATGGGGAGGGCTCCTGCTGCAACGAAATGGATATCTGGGAGGCCAACAGCTATGCCAACCAGATCGCCCCTCATACCTGTGGCAAGCCAGGTATCTTTGCATGCACGGGTAATGACTGCGGCAGTGCTGGACTCTGCGACAAGGCCGGATGCGGTGACAACCCATACAAGCACCGTAACGACAAGGAGTACTACGGACCAGGTCTCAAGGTCGATACCAACAGGCCGTTCACCGTTGTCACCCAGTTTCCCGCCAAGGACGGCGTGCTCCAGGCCATTGTCCGCAAGTACGTGCAAGACGGCGTAGTCATTGAAAACGCCATGCGCAACCTCACCGCTGAAGAGGCAGTCATGGACCAGGCGTGGTGCGATAAGCAGGGAAAAACCTCGGCCTACAACAGGCTTGGTGGCCACAAGACCATGGGTGAGGCCCTGGAACGCGGTATGGTTCTCGCACTAAGCATCTGGTGGGATAAGAGCAGTGGCATGCAGTGGCTTGACAGCGGATCCAGCGGTCCTTGCAATGCCACCGAGGGCTTCCCAGATGTCATTCAGTCCAAGGTCAAGAATCCCACTGTCACCTTTAGCCAGGTCAAGTGGGGTGAGATCGACTCGACGTATGGAGCTTCCAACGCGACGAGCAAGTACTGGAAGGCTTAGAGTGTGGTGGCTTTTTATATGTATTAGACGATACTAGATGTGTATATGTACTTCTTCAAATATAGACGGGTCAGAGTACCTTGAGTTGCGCAAATGAACTTTGCAATACTAGTGTCATTCCGCAGGTGAATCGCAGCAACCGTCGGAAAAAAAAACCATGTCAAGCAGAAACCATATGAGTCCCGACCCCATTAAATTCGCAAAACCTTTCGTTTCAGCACCGGTCACCCTCAACGGCTGACCGGCCAGCAAAACACATGTCGCAATAGCAAATGCGAAGGCAATACGAGTGCAGGCTTACAAAGCTCACCCACCTTACAAAGCCACACACCCACTTTGCCGTCCGCATGCGGAAACCACTAGTCCGCATCCCTACCACCGGTGACACCGGTTTTTTGACTCAAACACCACACAACATGCAAACTTAACCTTTTCCAGCAAAAACAAGCGTTACGCCCTTTGCTTCGACATGTGTAGAACCGCCACTAGATGACTCAACCGTCTTGTCGTGCGCGGACATTGGGGAGAATGCCCTGGGAGCCTGGGGCGGAGGAGGTGCGCATGAGTCGGTGTGAGGGCGCAGCGCGGTGTAGTGCGATGCTGTTGAATTGGTCATTGAGGGTTGTATTGCTAAGCTGAGGGTTGGAGAAAAGGTATAAAGATTAGGGGATGTAATCCAGGAGTTGAGGCATCAAATCAATTGGAACATCATCCTCCTCATCATCATCATCATCATCATTATCAAAGCTACGATACATCTACTTCATTGTCAATTCAAAGGATACGCATTCCACGATTACATCAACGATTTCTAAATATCGAAACACGGAATTCACAATACTCAACATGTCGTCTACTACGCGATCAACATCCACATCTACACCGGAAAAAGATACAATGTCGATAACATCATCGTCGACAATGACAAGTACGAAATCGCTTCTGAGGTCGCTGCTCCCGTCGAAGCGGGATAGCAAGGAGACAAAGACAAAAACACCAACCACAAAAGCTACAGAGACACCGGCGGAAAAGGCGGAGAGGAAGTTGACCAAGGCGGAGGCTTTGCATGATTGGGCGTTGCATCGGTAGAAGGAAAGGGAGGTCATCGGAGATAGAGGCGATATATGAAGCGATGAAGAGGGACGCAGTCACTGGGTTAGTTCTGGTGCAGATATCCTGGGGTTCAAGGACCCCCAATCCTTTTCGTTCTTTTGTTTATACCTTGGGCATAACGGACTATGCCTGTTTTCCAGTTGCTGCTGCGCAGTGTAGTTTTGGTCCCAGTGCAGCCATGGCAGATAGGGATGGTCGATAGGGGATGACAGTATATCATACCTTGCTGTTAGATAAGAATTGGACCAAGTTCTCAATTTTTGAAATTATCTCAGTCGTTTGATTCAAAATCAATTGAAAGCCGGTAGCAGCTCATATATCCATGCTCTATGCCAAGGGGATAGAGAATAAGGCAAATGTGCACATGGGTTTCAAGAAATAAGAAATTGCGCACAAAGCTGTGACGAAATGGCCACTGTGCACTTCATTCAGTTACTTTTATCTATCGTGTGTGAATCAAAACATCATTTGAGCAGGGTATCATCATCCTGCCAGTGGGCAGCTCTATACCTCTTTCTTGGGGACACCACCTGGCAACGTCTGTACCTTTTCCTGGAAAAGCTTCTCAGCGCCTTGCCATACGGGAGTTGTGGCACGGTCCTTGAGAGCCATCAAGCTAGGCAATAGGGCATTGCTGAAGGCTTCTGACGACTCGCGGGGAAGCGCGGATGGGAGATGGTCGATGGAGATGACGGAGAGTCTAGGGCCGTTGCCTTCGACGGACACTTCAACCGTGGGCTTGTCAAAAGTTGTGTTGATGTCGTAGATAGGGATGGGGTTGTGGGGGTTGGTGGTGTCGCAGGAGACATCGCATACGACGCTTAGCTTGCGGTTTGACGACTTAAGGCTCTCCTTGGAGACAAAGGGAGGAATGGGCTTGGAGAGGTAGATGCAGTTGACGAAGATGTCCGACTCGACAATCTCTGGGTAGGGGCCGTCGCGCTCCTTGGTCTCGGCCAGATCCCACTTCTTGACTTCTGAGCAGCCAATCTTTTCGAGAAGGTCAACAGCACCCGAGCCGCAGCGACCCAGAGCACCAAGAACCAAGCTGCTGGGCTTGCGGCCTGCAACCTTCTCACCGGCGGCGACATCGTCCTTGAGCTGAGCGATCAGTTCACCCTCGTTGTTGTAGTAGCCGCGGCCGTCGGTGAATGCATCGAGGCTGGGGAGGGGCTCGCCATTGGGGTGGGTGAGCTGCCATGCCCACGTCTTGATAGCAAGGGCGGCGCCAACAAAGCCAGCATGGTATCCAAAGGCAGCCACACGCCTGCCCGACTCGTCCTGCAGAAACTCGAGATCGTAGAGAGTGCCACCGCCGCGGGGGAAGCGAGCGAGGACGTTCTCCCAGCCGCCTTGTTGCTTGTAGCAGTGTGCAAAGTGGACGAATGTATGCTCAAGAGGGAATGAGTCCTCTGGCAGTTCCTTGAGACCAAGGATGATGTGGTTCTTGGGCGCTGTCTTGTATGCGCCCTCTTCAATCAGTGTTGCGCCGGCTTGCTCAAACTCTTCGTCGGCGAAGATGCGGGCGTAGTTGGGGTCCTTGGGTGAACGCTCGACAAGGACAGGGTAGCCGGCATCGAGCAGCTTCTTGGCTGTGGTGGGCGTGAGGCATGAGCGGTGCTCGAGTGGCTTGGCCTCTGCGCGGGCGTGGAGGGTTGGGAATGTCATTTTGGAGGTGGTGACTGTTATTGTTGTGGTAGTGGTTTTCAATTGCAAGCCAACCGTCTTATAAAAGACAATGCGACGGACTTCGGAGTGTGGAGCAGGTAGGGCCGGACTAAAGCAGCCCACTTATGACTCCATGTTCTGTTTTGCCCGGCGCCCAAATTTCGAGCTCCGAGAACGGGGGGGGGGGGAAGACAAGGCCGGGTGTGGGGGTGAACAGACCAACGAGAACGGCGTTCCATCCGCACCGGAAAAACCATTGCCCATGATAAACCAACAGCTCCACGTCCATGCTCATGCTCGCGCGGAACTTGGAACGGAAGCGCGAATTATGATTACTGCTTGGAACAGTCGCCCGCTTCGAGACGACGGACTCTAACAGAAGAGGAGGAACAACGAGAAGAAGAGAACGAGGACGGCGACGTCATCAGCAACAACAACAGCACTACCAACATCAACACCAAGGCCATCGAGAATGCCACCCAAACCAGCCAACCCAGACGACAGCAGTCGCCCGCATGCCACAGCCTCACATTCGCGAGACTCGTCGAATGCAAGCGCCCGCCATGCCCATGCGCCTGCAACGCCTAGCCAGCTGCGACAGGCCCATGTGCCTTCGGACCCGTCCACTTCGCCAGACGAGGCAATGCACCGTCGACATTACTACGACGACGATGAAGAGCCTCTCGCCGAGGCTAGTGACACTCTGCCTCATCTCGACTTTGGAGTCGACGGCATACAACCCACAGCAGATGCCCTGTCTGCGCACTCGACCCACGAGAATGTTGGCTCGTCCGGCGGTATCATAGAGATCGACCTCGAACCCACTGTGCGCACTCGCCTGCTGAACCATCAACAACATGACGCAGGCACTGGTAGACCAGCGACACATCGCAGCTATGGTAGCTTTGCGGGCAGCGTGCACTCGGAGCAGAGCTTTGGCGGCGCCTTTCCTGGTATACGCGAGACGCTCGAGGGCGAGGCACCAGACGCCGCACATGCGCTGCTGGGCGACGCCATTGCCGATAGCGTCACCAACAAGGCCAGCGGCAAACAGATGAGCACCACGCGATGGCTTGCCGAACGCCATGGCATCAAGAACAAGCGCATGATGTACCTCAAGTACTACATCCCCATTCTCAATTGGACCCAGCAGTACAAATGGCGCTACTTGAAGGGCGATCTTGTCGCGGCTATCACCATGGCTTCCTTCTACATTCCCATGGCCCTCTCGTACGCCTCGAATCTCGCCCATCTGCCCCCCGTACACGGTCTTTACAGCTTTGCGTTCAACCCGCTCATCTACGCCATACTAGGCACCTGTCCACAGATGGTTGTAGGCCCAGAAGCACCGGGCTCGCTCCTCGTTGGCGAAATTGTGCGTGAGAACATCAAAAAGGGCACTACAGACGACAATGACGGCAGGCGCAATGCCGAGATTGCTGGCATTGTCACGTGCATGGCTGGCGCATTCATTCTCATTGGCGGCTTCTTCAGACTTGGCTTCTTGGATAACGTCCTGAGCAGGCCCTTCTTGCGTGGCTTCATCAGCGCTATTGGTGTAGTCATCTTCATTGACCAACTTATCCCTCAGATGGGACTGGCCAGACTTGCTGCTGACCAAGTATCTCACGGAAGCTGCTTGGACAAGTTTCTATTCCTCGTCCGCAATGTTGGCAATGCCCACGGTCTTACGTGTGCCGTATCATTTACTGCGTTTGCTATTATTATGTTCTTCAGGTATGTTGTTCCACGCCAGACGTCTGGTGAATGTCTCTTTCTGATTCTTCCTGCTCACACTTTCCCAGAGAGTTCAAGAAGCGACTGCAGCCACGTTACCCCAATGTCGCATACATCCCGGACCGCTTTGCAGTTGTTGTGCTTGCTACCATCATTACCTGGAGATATCGACTTGATGAGCAAGGGCTCGCGGTTCTTGGCGAAGTAAACTCGAGTGCAAAGCTCTTCTCAGTCCACTTTCCCTTCGACACGTCGCATCTGAAGTATGTATCGGACGCCATCAACACGGCCCTCATCATTGCTATGCTGGGTTTCTTTGAATCATCTGTTGCAGCAAAGTCGTTGGGCAGTGGCGAGCAGAACAAGGAAGGGGTACAGATGCCACTCAGCGCAAACCGGGAGCTCATCGCATTGGGAACTGCCAACATCACTGGTGGACTCTTCATGGCTCTTCCCGCCTTTGGTGGCTATGGCCGGTCCAAAGTCAATGCCTCGACGGGTGGTTTGACGCCCATGAGCTCTGTACTGCTCTCCATCATCACCATTCTTTGCACTGTATTCATGCTGCCTTACTTTTACTACTTGCCAAAGGGCGTACTTTGCGCCATGGTTTCGGTTGTTGCATACTCGCTTGTTGAGGAAGCACCGCACGACATCAAGTTCTTCTTGAAGATTCAAGGCTGGTCTGAACTGATCCTCATGGGGCTCATCTTTGTCATCACCATCATTTGGGATCTGAAGCGCGGTATCGGCGTTGGTATTGGTCTGTCCATCCTGCGCCTCATCCGCCATTCGGTGCGCCCACGAATTCAAATTCTCGGTCGTGTGCCTGGAACAACCAACCAATTTTCCAACGCAGAGCAAGCCCCGGGAGACGTTGAGTTTATCGAGGGATGTCTTATTGTCAAGATTCCAGAACCCCTGACATTTGCCAATACGGGCAACCTCAAGACGCGTCTTCGCCGCCTAGAAGACCACGGCACAGCGAGAGCGCACCCAGCCTTGCCGCGGGTTCGACATGCGGAAAACAACAAGAATATTATTTTCGATGTACATGGCGTTACGTCGCTTGACGGAGCTGGCGCGCAGGTACTTGCTGAGATTGTAGAGTCGTATAGAAACCGGGGGGTTAGAGTGTTTTTCTGCAGAGTACCCAGAGAGTCGAGCGCGGTTTACAAGCTCTTCGACAAGAGCGGCATTATCGAAATGTGTGGTGGGAAAAGACACTTTGTACACAGCGTCGAGGAGGCGCTTCGGATGACGGAGATGGAGCGGTTAACCGAGGAATGGGGTAGTTCGGCGGAGAGCTCACGCGCTGTTTCCAGCCGGGCGTGACGAGGATTTTGCCGCTAAGAATTTGGATCGTGCAACATGAGCAAAGGCGTTTCTAGCATGGTATTGGACGACACGGCGTTTTGAGTCTACGAGTACAAAGTAGACGAGTGCGTATGCGCATGCATACTACTACATGAAAAGGGCGTTGGGAATCAAAAATCTTCATATTACCAGCAGGAAGGTCTGACGTGCATCTCTTTCTCCAGCACTGCGGAAATACGAAGTTTGCGGCCATTCTAGGACGAGAATGCGGGTCTTTTTCGCACGCGGAGCCTGATCTGGCGCCTTCGGTCAAGATGGCAACCAACAAGCTTTGTGACAGAGCTTGGCGACATGTGTTGGGCCCCGGTTCTTTCTCGAGGGGGCAAGGCTAAGCAAGTCTTGATAACGCTTAGCATGTCTTGACAAGTCGTGCGACGGCCGGATGACACCTAGCGCAGTATTGAGCCGCGCAGCTCATCGGCCCTAACGGCCTCTCCGCAAACATTCACTGGACGGGAGCGGGCAATGCGGGGTTGCGGGCACGTCATGTGTCAATGGACCGCGCACGCATGGACTGCACACTGCTTACTTGTCGGCCATCGCATCGGGGGCAGCGAGGCATGCTCGTCACGACGTCAGGCCATGTATAAAGGGTTGCCTGACGGGCGCCGGTGCTGCCTCATGAGTACAACTGGTCGGCCAGTCCGTCTGATTCTCATTCCCCAAGCAACTTGACTGCCATGGCAGACACCAAGTACGAAGACGCTGAGCAGCACGAGTATGTGGAGCCCGCTCCCACCATGACGGCTGCCCGCTATGTGGCAACGCGTATTCCGACACTCAAGCCCGCCCACGACAAGGTTGCAAATCCCATCGCCCTTCTTCGCATGCTCAACGCCCAGCAATGGCTATTCTTTCTTGTTGCCTTCTTCGCTTGGACGTGGGATGCCTTTGACTTTTTCACCGTGTCCCTTACCATTGAAAACCTCGCCGAGACGTTTGGCAAGACCCAAGCCGACATCACGTGGGGCATTACGCTAGTCCTTATGCTGAGAAGCGTGGGCAGCATCATCTTCGGCTTGGCTGCTGATCGCTATGGAAGGAAGTGGCCGTTTGTTATCAACAACCTCTTGTTCATTGTCCTTGAACTTGGCACGGGCTTTTGTTCGACGTACAAGGAATTCCTGGGCGTACGCGCCTTGTTCGGAATTGCTATGGGTGGATTGTATGGTAACGCCGCTGCAACTGGTACGTCAGCTCTTCTTTCTCTTCTTGCTTCGCATGTACATACACGTACCCAATCAGGAATCTGACCTCTGAACAGCTCTCGAAGACTGTCCCGAACAAGCTCGTGGACTCATGTCTGGTATCCTGCAGCAAGGCTATGCATTCGGTTATCTACTTGCCACAGTCTTTGCACGTGCCTTTGTTGATACCGTCGGTCATGGGTGGCGCCCTCTGTTCTGGTTCGGTGCGGGGCCTCCGGTTCTTATCATCATCTTCCGTCTGTGCCTTCCAGAGACGAACGCCTATCGCGAACGTCAGCGTATCCGTGAAGAACAACCCAGTGCGGCCAAGACGTTTGTTGACGAGGGCAAGGTGGCCCTCAAGAGGCACTGGCTGCTACTCGTCTATCTTGTGCTCCTCATGGCCGGCTTTAATTTCATGTCCCATGGCAGCCAGGATCTTTACCCGACCATGTTGAAGAACCAATACAACTTCTCAGCAAACCAGGTGACCGTCACCCAAGTCGTAGCCAACCTAGGGGCTATGACTGGCGGCACACTTGTCGGATACTGTTCGTCCATTTTCGGCCGTCGCATCAGTATCATTGTCATGTGCTTCCTTGGCGGGGCGCTGCTCTATCCCTATACCTTCACCTCGAGTGATGCTGTCATTGCCGCAGCCTTTTTCCAGCAATTCTGCGTCCAAGGCGCGTGGGGGGTCATCCCAATCCATCTCATGGAACTTTCGCCGGGCTCCTTCCGCACGTTTGTCGTGGGAACTAGTTACCAGCTTGGCAATCTCGCTTCCTCTGCTTCATCTACCATTGAAGCAACGATTGGTGAGAAGTTCCCTCTGCCACCAAAGGGCAAAGTCGCGCGGTACAAATACGGACTGGTCATCTGTATCTTCATGGGGTGTGTGTATGCATATGTTATTTTGCTGACCGCAATTGGGCCCGAGTATAGGGGCAAGGACTTTGATGCTGCCGCGGATGAGGATTTGGCGATTGCTACCGGTGCAGATGCGGGCAAGTATGAGACCAAAAAGCAGGTGGAGGATCTGGAATCGAGGCCGGATGCGTGAAACATGTTTAACCGGGAGATGGGAATGTTGGACGCGAGGCTGGATTTGTCAGTGGGCCACGAGGTTCCTCGGGGTCGGGCCAGCAGCCAAGCCGCGACGTCTTACTAGTTTGTGAGTTCACCATGCTCGAAAAAAAACGGGCATCCTTGGCGCGACCATTTCGGCAAGTGACCAAGGCCGAAAACCTTTAGCCACAGACTTGATTAATGAATCCATGACACTACCAAGACGTGCTATTCCATTGGTGTCGATAGAGGCTTCCACTCGAGGACCCACCACATCGGGGGTTCAAGTGGAGAGACATTAATATTGTGCTGGCTGTGTGATCGCACTTCCTGTCGTGGTATATTATGGCGCCTATAGGCCTGACGTAGGCAATCTAAATTATTCTTGCTTCTTATTGGCCTGATTGGCTCCGCTCTTCATGCGGAAACGACATCCGTCTCTAGTGCCGTATCACCTGTAGAGTCTCGCCAACCCAAACAGATTGTCTTCATATCCAGCAATCTATGCCACGCATCACGCCGCCTTGGATGGCGGTGCTCGCCATTCCACTGCCCTCAATCTTCGGCTCCTTGTCGCGGCTTTGGTTCTAAGCGATGGTATTGCCGAAGGCTGTGTTACATTTAGGCAGCGTTACAATGCCATGGTATCGGGTATAAGTATAGGGAGCCTGGTAGACAGTGAAACAGAACCACAACTCTTCATCTGTCTCTTTTGATCTGCAGCATAAAACAGAGACTTTTCCTGCAAAGATGAAGGTTTCCGCCGTTATCCTCGCTGTCGCCTCTCTGGCCAGCGCTCACTGTATGCCTACTAACATTTCCCACTCTCCAACCTAATCTCAACTGATTTCTCCTACAAGACACTCTCCCCAGCATCAACGGCGGTGTACCGTGGTCTCACGTCCGTCAAGCCAAGAACTGGCAGGACAATGGCTTCGTCGGCGATGTCACCAGCAACGACATCCGCTGCAACCAGCTGAAGCCCGGCACTGCCACCATGACCGTCGCCGCTGGTTCCAGCGTCAAAGTCAGCGTCAACCCCAACGCCTACCACCCAGGCCCATTCCAGTCCTACCTCGCCAAGGTCCCCGCAGGTGCAGACATCAACACCTGGGACCCCACTGGCGCAGTCTGGTTCCGCATCTACGCCGAGCAGCCCAAGTTTGGCAGCCAGCTGACCTGGTTGGGTAAGTCATTTACCTCCCTTTCGCCATCACTGAATCCTCCCCCCACCCACTAACAATCTTCTCTCCTACAGCTGCCGCCAACTACGACATCAAGATCCCCCAGTGCATCCCCGCCGGCAAGTACCTCATGCGCAACGAGCACATTGCCATCCACACCGCTGGCCAAAGGGGCGGCGCGCAATTCTACCTCTCCTGCGCTCAGATCGAGGTCACTGGTGGCGGCAGCACGTCGCCCAGGAACCTTGTCGCCTTCCCAGGCGCCTACAGCGCTACTGACCCCGGTATCTTGATCAACATCAACTACCCCATTCCTACTAGCTACGTTAACCCTGGCCCACCTACCTTCACTTGCTAGGATGGTTAAGCGGTCGGGAGGGTACGTAAGGGAGTAAGGTAGCAACAGCGGGGGTCCTGTATATAGATATCTTTTTCTCCATTCCCTGCTGTTACTGAAGAGAATTTGAATGAATTTGCGAGGGTTAGAGCTTCTTTGCCCTCCCTTCTCGATATGACATTATTATAGAGAATGTAAATATGTTCTATGACGATACCTGTTTGATATGATACTCGCACAACTTGGCCTTCCCAACTGATTCGACCTGCTGAGGTGACGGATGCACTGTTCCTGCAATGAACTGTCTTCTCGATAAACTTCCATGTTTGTTCGCAGATACGAGATAGAAATGCCGTCTTGACATGACACAAGCAGCTCAAGTCGCTTGATGTAATCAGCAATGGGTTGATGTCGATCTCAAAGCCACCACATCTTTATGTGAGTATTGAGTTGTCTTGGAATCGTTGGTGTTTACACTCTACAATTGTTGACTGGGTACTAGGTTGCAGGACGTAAATGATATGATCCACGAGCTAGGTGCTTCTGAACAGATGATTCTGTCATCAAGTATGAGCTAGATGGCAGCTCATACGTCTAGCGAAGAGCAACTTGGTTCAAAATATACTGTTAATAACTATCTTTCGTAGAAGAATAACTTGGGAAGTGATTTACTATATTTTTTTTTCTGTTCGTAGTTGAATACATTAGCAACATCTGTTGCACACATAGTGTGAACGAAAAAAATTATCTTTGTTGACAGTTTCATTTTTATCCATATCAGGGTATGATAGCAAGAAAGCCGTGGGAATGTTGTGAGAGGCGTTCAGACTTGTCCTATTATCGGTTCAAATCAATGCTTGTTTATACTGACCAAGAGGCCCTTCAATAGATTTTGAGCGCGCTGAGTACCAAATATATCCCAAATCGTTCTTGGTCACTACCAACATCCAGAAAAATTACTGATTCTGGGTTCAAATCCGTCTGGATTAGCTGGTAAGCTTCAATGGGTCAAAGGTGCAAGAGACTACCGGAAGTTTGATTCAATAATGACCTGACTAGTTGGCTGGCTAATTGGTTGAGCCATTGTTCAATTAGCGCTTCATGTTTGAACTCATGCTAGAATACAAGTTGATTTATACAAAGAATTTAGAAAAACTCAATCTCTCATGTAGTTTCTAGGAATATCGTAAGAAAATGTGCTATAGTGCAGTGGAGGAAATAAGCTTTGAGTTTTAATACGAGGTACTATCGAACAAAACTAACTGGTGACATATCTCTGCTGCATGTTCTGGAAGAAAAGGCGCCTTGATGATCTCGAGGTCCCCACAGCTTACATTCTGTGTCGCTAGTCACGTGCTGTAAGTATCTTTAAAATCCGATAGCTTGCCATGCCACTATGTTATAACATGAAGGCTTCTTGAAGCCCATTCTAGCACATTTGCCAAGTTTGTACGAGTATCCTTGCATACCAAAATTTAATAGCGGCTCTTAAGTATGCTTTCAGACAAACTTGATCAATTATTACGACGAGCCAGATTCATCCATGGCAACAAGACTCACTACGTTGTTAAACCCATCCAATATCGACATCAAACTTGATGGGATTGCACGGCAGCTGACTTGCCCGTTCTAGATGTCAACTAATTTGCCAAGTTACTGATGTTAGCACTACGCAATCTCGCATCCGAAACCAAAAGCTCGCGCGGGAACCATTCTGCTAATTTTCCACCCGGCCTACCCAGATCTTCAGGCAAGTCATCCTCTTCAGTTCCAGCAATCATTATACCAAGCGCCGCGCCAGAAAGCCAGGCCCATACCATACCTTCTCCACAAAACCCTGCTGCGATCCACTCTCCACATTTATGATCGCCATCTAACATTCCTTTTCGGTTCTTGATGTGGCGTCCCGTCAACTTCGCGTTCAACGGACCCACAAAGGGCAGAGAATCACCAGTTAGACCGATGATCCCAGGCCACACCTGCTTCAGCTCGCTCCCCGCACCCCATTTTGGATGAAATATCGCTGGGAATATACCTGCAATGTGTGTGATCGTCAAAGGGTCAAGCACGGAACCGTCGTCGTAAAGACCGACTTGGTCAATGCCTTGCTTCAAAGATCGCTTGAAGCCACCTCCAATCATCAAATCCCCTTTGGCGTCGCCTGAAGCTGGCGGTATCTGAGTGATGTAGTCAAACGCATCGTCGTATATTACACCCCAGGATGTTGTACCGTCAGCATGCGGGAAGCGTTGTCCTGGGGTTTGGGCGGACATGTGAGCTCTTGCTCCTACAATCCTGCTGCGCAATCCAGGAACAAGATGACTTGCGAACGCGTTGGTGGTATGAACTACTTTCCGAACAAAAAGGGTTCCTCGTGGAGTTTTCAAAGCATATGGGAAGCCTGCTGGGGCGTCTCCTGGAACGCTGATGGATTCCACGGGAGTGTTTGTTTCCACAGACAGATGGGGGAACTCTTTCAGTAGGCTATTCCAGATGGACATAACAAACCGGTAAGGCCAGATAGCACCTGCTTTGTAAGATAAAGCACCGACGACGCTTTCGTTGACACCAAATCTCTACTGATGTCAGTTTTTAGTCTTCCTTTGTTCAATTGGCAACCGTGCAAACCTTCTGAGCTTCATCCCCGTTCCACACGGCGATCTCAATCTCTGGTAGCCATTGGTTCAACGCCCAAGAATCAGCGATGGCCTTGGAGAAGCTTTTGCTGTCCAGAAAGAAGTCGGCTGTTTCGACCTTTCGAGCCTGGGCAGCCTCAATACCTTCGCCTTCACATATTCCAGTCAAACAATCAACATGTAGAGATTGAAAGCGCACCAAGGCGGCAGCACGGTCTTTTGAAAATAGTTTGCTGAGCAGGGAAAAGGATTCGTATAGTGAAGGTTTGATATGGCCGCCATTCCGAGCGGTGGCACCGCTGCACAACTGCCGAGCCTCGAGAACAACTATCTCTTCATCCGGACTGGTGTTGCTACGACGTCGCTCGTAGAGTAATGACCGTGCCACGGATGCTCCAGCGATTCCAGAGCCTATGATTGCCACATCTACGGTTTGTGGTAAGCTGGGTGAGCTTGCATTAATAAGTTCAGGATATGGAGGATCATTGAGCCAGTAGGTTTGGGTTGGGTTGGGGTTAGGAAGGCCCGGAGATTGCGATGCACGCTTTAAAGCTTGGCTGAATTCGGTCGACAGCGCTTTCAGGAGAGAGGCTGTTGCAGTACAGATTTTGATTAAATCCTGGAGAGTTGAGAGAACCACACCCATTGTAGTGTGATCTGTTTTCAGAGTTGTTATGTAAATGTGGTTAATGTGCAGTATGTATAACGTATCTGTATAGCGAGTGGCTCAGTATAGCGAGTGGCTCACGGTGCCAAGACCACACCAAAATCACGACTATTACATGACTATTACAACACAACAATGATAGTAAAGAGAAATCGTAATAAGCTATTCTACTCAAAATCATCTTCTACATCTTTCTTACATG